GTGTTACATTTCAAGGTGGCTTTACACTGACAGAAGTCCTTGTGTAAATAGCACTTTCCTTCCATACATATTAATGAGTCCAATCCATTGACATTTGACTTGGGTTGACAGGGTGCATTGCGTTGAAAAATTGACTGGTCCACCGGGTCTTGCATGCTAAGTTCTTTTAGCTGCTCAAAACGTAGAGAATGTGTTTTCTCATGTATTTGCAATGAACAATTCATCTTCAATCAATCATTCACCAGTGTCAGTCAGCTAATATCTCATGCTTGGAGGCATGCTCATGCATATTTTACTGACATAATAATTAGGGTAATCACCTAGCTGGCAAGATAAAAATAATTAGTTTTCAGTTCACTTCAAAATGCTTTTGTGGCATGACAAAAATAGATTTATTGATTCTTAACCAATTTTAAGCAAGTAAAATCAAATTAGGTTAATTTACATCCTTTGAAAGCTGCACTAACACGGCAATAACAATAACAGTTTTTTTCAAGGTTATTGATAAGTCAGGAGCAGTGTTGTTATTGATAACTAGGGCTGAACGATTAATTGCATTTGCGATAATATCGCGATATGAACAATTTAGATTTTTCAATCGCAGAGGCTGCGATTACACGGTCACGTGACAGGCGAGAGTAAAGAGGTGTGTTCGACTTGAAGATCAGATCGGTGTATGACATCAAAGTATGGCGAGAGAAAGCATAAGGAGACGTCCGCGCTCTCTTATAGCTCTCTCAGTACTTTGATGACACACACCCATCGGTCTAAGCAGCGCTGCTTCAAGTGCTTCAAGTTCTGCCATCAGCAGAAAAAGAAAATAAATAAAACAGTAAACAGCCAAAGGACGTAACGTAGAATGGGAGATGGATCAGTTTGTGAAAACAAAGAGAAAAGCCATAGATGAATTCGCACAGACCCAGGCAGGTGCCGGTCATTTAAAAGCTAAATGCAGAAAATATGATGAGGCATATCTTGCTCTCGGCTTCACTCACCGTGTCTAT